GTGGTTAAAAGCAGGAACAAGAAACACAATTAAGCTTAAATTAACCCAAGGTTCAGCTGCAAGACTAAAAACCTGACAGTCCACCAGATTTAAGGTTCAGGACAAGTTCAGCTCAGTCCAGCCTGTCCTCAGGGGGACAGGAAGTCCATGGTCCTGCAGAGCTGCAGTCACTGTTTGAGCTTCACTCTTTGAAAAAATTAAAAAAAAAACTTTTCTAAAAGTCCAGTTGTCTCTGGTAGCTGTCTTTTGGTTCTGTCTCCATCAGTTGTCTCACAGAGGACGACTCAGGATAAGTTTGTCCCACAACAGAAAGGGTTGCCGTGATGACAGCCAGGACATTAGGACCCTGAGGTGGGCTTGCGTTTCCTTCAGAGCAGAAACAGATCAGGCAGGAAGAAACAGAGCGAGGTCAGTCCCACGCCTCTGTCTTCAGGAGGCGGGGACAGTCAGGCAGGTTGTCTGGGAGATAAGGGCGTTGCTGTGGGGAAGGAGGCGGAGCTCCGCGGCGAACCGAAGGGGGGGAGGGTCGACGGGGGCTGGCCAGCAGGTCCCCGTTGTGCAGCTTCCACAGCAGCTCCTCRTTCTCCATGGACAGACGCTTGTTGACCTTTGACTCCTTCTGCAGCGTCTGCTGGAGGACGGCCTGCTCCGAGGACAGCTGCTTGGACAGAGCAGCATGTTTGTCCATACGGGCCTTGTAGTCTTCGTTCTCCTGCTGGACCTTCTTCAGACGCTCCTCCAGCCTCTCGTTGGTCTCCACCAGAGTGTCCATGTCCATCAGCTTCTTGTCCTTCAGGTGCAGCTGGTTGTTCTTCATGTCCAAGACCACCTTCAGGCTGTCCAGCTCCTGCTCCAGGTACAGGGTGTGGGAGTCCTTCGGGTTTTTGTCGCTCGGGATTCGCTGCCTCCTCTCTTCCTCTGCTCGCAGTTTCTTACTCAGTTCCTGGTTTTCTGCTGAAAGCTGACAGATTTTCTCAGAGAGAGACGTTTCTGTCTCCTTCAGGGTCTTCTGCAGATCCTCCAGGTCGCTCCGCTGGACCCTCTTCAGCTCCTGGATGCAGTTCTGRTAGCCCTGGTCCAGAGACTCCACCTCCTGATTGTGAATCACTTCCTGGTTCTTCTTCTCTCTTTCATGTTTGCTCCTCAGCTCTTTCACCTGCTGCTCCATGAACAGGCGACACCTGTCGGCCTCCTCCTGGTACACCTGGTGGACCTTGTCCCACTCTGTTTGGTAAAAACTCTTCAACCTGTTCTCCAGTTGAACCAGGTCCTCCTGATGCTTCGCCTCCAGCCGCCTCAGAGCCTCCTCCTTCTCCTCCTGCAGCTGCTGGCAGGTCTGGGAGGAAGCCACCAGCTGGTCTCGGAGMTTCTTCACCTCCAGCATCAGCTCCTTCTTCTGCATCAGGGTTTCTTCTCGCTGAAAGATAGAAAATATTTAGTTAAAAACACAAAAACTGACTGAATTTCTGCTGAGTCAGCATTCACTCTGAGGTTTTAGCTTCTAACTCCTTTGGCTCATGTTCGACTGTTTCACCTATGGCTTATTCAAACATTCAGCTGATCCTGAACATCCAGAGTTCCTCTTAAAACAGTCAGACCTGAAACCAAAGAAGACCTCAAAGACCCTCAGGAAGTCTGAAGACCTGCTGGTCCAGAACCACTTTAATGTACCTCAGGAAGGTCCAGGTCCAAAGACCTGCTGGTCCAGAACCAATTTAATGTACCTCAGAAAGGTCCAGGCCCATCTTGCTGGTCCAGAACCACTTTAATGTACYTCAGGAAGGTCCAGGTCCAAAGACCTGCTGGTCCAGAAAAACCGGGTTTAAAATCCTCTCAGTGAGCTCGACCCATGTTTGGAATTTCAGCAGTGTTTACACAACACCCGCTCTGGACCTGGACCAGGTTTTACTCTGACAGAACTCCAGTGACCCGTCAGCAGGAAACTTTGATCTTTTTTCTCTTGAAAAGCTTGTTTTTCAGGAAAGGATCCAAACAAATCTTGGTTCAGGTGTTCAGATGTTAGCCCCGCCCACCTGGCCCACCGTGGACGGGCCTGAGGATCAGAACCGAGCACATTCTGACCCAACTCTCCTGCAGGAGGYGGCACCGGGAACAGATCCGGGTTCAGATGAAAGAGATCAAAGATAAGAGATGAAAGAGCTGCAGAAATCCTGGTCCACACAGACCAGGTCGGGCTCACAGAAGCAAACCAACCTTTTTTTTCTTCTTACGGCGGAGCTGAGAGATTCTTCTTGGTTCTGATCGGGTTTTACTCTCCGTAGAGCCCATTTCTGTCTGAACTCTGACTCAGCAGACACAAACTATAACCTCCTCCTGTACCTGTCCCTCCTGCTCCTCCTCCTCCTCCCCACACTCAGAGCCAGCAGGAGGAGGAGGAGACTGACGCAGGAATGTCAATAATTCCAGACCCGCCCTCCTCCCTCCCTCTAGTCCTGATCGGACCTGTGGGTCTGCATTCAGCTCATTCCTCCTTTGTTGAAATTTGAAATTTCTGGTGAAATTTCAATACAAAAAATAAATAAATAAAAACTAAAAATGTTTCAAATTAAATTCATTTTAAAAGAAAACTTTCTAAAGTAACAAAGATCTAAAACATCCTGAAGAACCCATTTAGGTTCTGGTCTCACCCTGGTCTTTATTCTCCACTTAAACATAACATCATGATGCGTTCACTGAATGCAGGAAATCTGAGCGCCACTCATCTTTACTGTGTTCAATTATTTACTTAAAGTTTTTAAAACTGAGAGGAAAGTCAAACATTTTTCTGAAGGAATGTCAGGGGTCCAACCAGTGCCCCCCAGGTCCACCTCAGACCCCCAGTCCACCCAGCCCTGGGGGGACAGCAGCTCCCTGCAGCAGATTAGATAAAACATTCCAGCTGCAGAGAAACTACAGAGTTCAAATCAGCCTTCAGTTCAGACAGCAGCTGCAGAACACTGATCTGTGCACGTGTGTGTGCACATGTATGTGTGTGTATTTAAGGGTGTGTGTTTGTGTTTTCAGAACTGCAGATTAGAACTGAGACAATCATCAACTTTCCCTGCGACTCAAGGAGATAAAACTCAGATGTTTGTGTCGAGTTTTAAAYCAAAACTCTGGAGCCAGAAACAAAAAGAACAGAACTGAACAGAACCGAATAGAACCGAACAGAACCAAACCAATCTGTATGATAAAAGCATGACTTTTTTACACCTGATCACATCTGACAGCAAGGCTTTTACTTTTAAATCTGCAGGAAGTTTAAAGAGATTTTCCCCACAGATGAGGGTAAGGCCCTTTCCCAATCAGTGGCCCTCGCCCTACTCCCTACACACTACACTCGCTGTGAAGCACCCTCGCAGCTGAACCGAGTCCCCTTGATGGCGCTGTATACACCCTCCTCTTTTGAGACGGGCTCTCTCACACCACTGGAACAGGAAGCTGTCATCACCATGGTAACAGTCCAACCTCTGGCAGCGGCTGAATGCAGGAGAACAGAYGCTTTTTTTAAAAGGACCAAAGAAAATATTTAATTAGGCCCACATTTTAGAGAGTTTTCAGATATGACTGTTTTTGTAACAAACACAGTGTGATAACTTGTCTATTTGCACTTTTAACATTTTTTAATCTGGGGTGGAGAGGAGCAGACAGCCAAGTCTCGGCCCGGGCCGCATCAGGCCAACCGGTCAGCCCCATGCCCCAGCGAAGCCACACCCCCGACCCACCCCCACACACCG